AGAGGTACACGGAGAAAGAACTCAGGAGGGCGTTGAATACTTGTTCACAGCCCTGTACTTCGGTGGCCTTGAGAGATCAACACACTGCAAGTTTAGAAAATATGCAAATAGACAAAATGCAAGCAAGAAAAAAACCACCAATCTGACAACACAGAAGTTATTTACAGAGAAAAATACTGCAGAAGCAGAAAACAGCACCAAATGCACTGTGTTGGGTTCATTTAATGAAATCTAAATATTGGCTCCACAAACGTGAAGGTGAAGGAGATGGATTAAGATCAGGACCAACGAACGTCGAATGGCGACATCTGTATCGTTTGCTTCTCGGCTGCTTTAGCATCCTGCTCGTTCGGCAGGTCAACATGGTTTGCTGCTGCATGCTGAAGTCAGTGAATTCATCGACGTTCAACTGAAATTCATGGACGTCAGCACAAGTTTTCCAGAAGCTGAGTGGAGCAGAAGCATGAAGACTGGCTGGACACAGGCTGATGAGTGGCCAGGTTTTGGTGAGTTGCCTTGAAAGGTCTCCTAAATCAGCCCTCTGTGCACTTTACTCCACATGTAAACCTCCACAGTCACTCTCCTCTGAGTGGTGAGTCCCGTCTCAGTCAGCATCTCCCGCTGATCAGAGCGTACACAATGTATACAGCAGGCTCTGGCCTGTATATATACTGGGCGGCAGATAAAAGTCGATGCATTCTAAGTTTTGCTCTGAGCTAAACTAATAAGGGAAGCACCACTTAGCTGAGTTCTGAAAGCCTCGTGTTTGAGGCGTCGGTCGCACCGGCAAAGGGACGGATGCTCTATAAAGCGCCGTTTGAAATCACCGTCTTCAAAGCAGATAAATTTCCTCCTCTGTGCTATCAGTGACAGCATCAAATGTTGTTCTACCAAGGGTTTAAGATTAAACAGCGATCAGGCTCTTTGGAGTTGTGAGCATTGTTGTTGTTGCTGCTCTGCCGTGTGTGTGATTGTGTTTCGGCTTTGTGGTGATATTTGTATGTGAGAGAGCAGCTCGGTGAGGAGACAGAGACAAAAACGTAGCCTCAGAAATGGCTTCTAACCTGCTCGCAGTCCCAAAGTTAAGCAGCACGGCGATAGATCAACGCAGCCTGCTTCACTGAGCCTCCTTTTTAAAGCCTAATAAACATTTTTATGCTAATTTAAATGCATCTGCTGGCTGGGGAGTGATTAAAATAAAATGACTTATTTACATTTTAAGCATTATTCCATCTTCGCTGCACATTCGCTCAGACTGTTTGGTTTGCTCTTGTTGATAAAATCCCCAAAGTGGCAGGAGATTGACGCGCCGGCAGATGTGGCTCGGAGACATCAATTCTCAGCGCAAAGTCTGAGACACACTTTCCACCAAATAAGCCACAACGAGCCCATCTGAATGAACCGCCCTCCTGTTTGCGGTTCTGCCTTTGGCACCAGAATACCTCTCTGATGAGCAAAACGGATTTCAGCCTCATTCCCAGACTGTGTGAGTGTGGAGCAGCCAGTATCCCTGGTTTGGTTTGACTGTCGGGACTAAACAGGTGATGCTGGAAACCCGTGTGTGTCCCTTTAAGCTCAGCCTGACTTTGTTTTTTGTTTTTTTTACGTTTTTTTTTCATCCCACTGTCCACTTTTTTCAGGATGTGACAGAACTCATCCCTCAGTGAAGCTAATCAGGGGTGAGATGGTGGGTGTGCGGAGGAGGTGGATGCTGACGGAGAGGTTTGGACAGATGGACAGACAGACAGGCTGTGCTCTGTCAGCACAGTCTGACCTGATGAGAAGGGACAGAAGAATGGAAGGGCAGAATGGGAGAAGGAAACCAAGTGGAGGGAGAGAAGACGAAGAACCAACCGTTTCCTATTAGCTCTCCTACACACACACACACACACACACACACATACACACACACACACACACTCTCTGGCAGTTTAATCTTTTGCTCTTTCCCCCTCTTGTCATTTGTTTGTGTCTCTGGTATCTCAACTGAATGGAGAGGCAAAAGTAGAAGCTCATATTTTGATGAGGTATTATTTGATTCCGGTACCACTGATAGTTCTGGAGAACCAGCTGAGAGCGACGACGACAGAGAGACTGAGGAAGTGATGAAGTGATTCTGAGGCTGTTCAGCTCCTGAAGACACTGAAGAAGACGACTTTAGTGGTTTTAGTGCAGGAGGAAGATGAAGATAGCCATCAGTGACTTTTCCTGGTAGCTGCTGGAGTTTTATTTCCTTAACCAGCCGTGTTACAGGAAGTGTTCGGAAAAAAGCCTCTACGGTACGTATCTGTGTATGTTACCGCTACGCATTTAATTAAAGGTTTAAAAATAAATACCTCATGTTCCAACGTGGACACCTGCAGCTTAGAGACCAGAGCAGCCTGTATATGTACACACCTGGTTTTCTTTTCAAAGTTAGTGGGTGGAGCTTATATTCAGGTGCCTCAATAGTCTGACAATTACGGTAATTAAAAATGAAAAGGTGTGGAAGGTCGTTAAATAGACGTGTTAGTGTTCTACGTCCTATTGAGGGATCCTGCAGAAACACATGCTGCAGCTCTCGGTGAGCAGAAGTTCTCTGTTGCTCAGAAAATCTCTCCTTTACAAGCTAAACAACGTGTTGCAGCGCTGCACAAAAATCTTACATTCACTGATGTAATGTGTCTGTTTGCAAAGTTATCTGAGGTTACCGGTTCTTGGAGGAGAAAGATTTACGAGCTAAATTTATCTGCAGTCTGCTGAGAGTGAGACAAGAGGCTGCAACAAAACAACTGATACGAATGACAAAGACGCCGACATTTATTAAAAGCTCCGGAGATGTGACGCTATCGGTGATGTGGATGACTGTCCAACTCACTCCCAAGGAGCTCTTCTTTTTGTTCCTATCAAAAGGGAACGATTAAGTCCTGAGATTAACGGCAGCAGTTCATCTAAATCTTCCTGTTAAAGACTTATCACTGTACCGTGATAACTTCTCCACTCAAACCCAGACAGTGAACGATGCTGCAGTCGAGCCAATACTGGGTCTAAATGAGTCGCTGCTCCGCCGTGGACAGATCGGCTATCTGTGGTGCTGCAGGACCAACGAGGGGAGAGCGGTTCTGTCCAAACAGCCACAGTTCAGGAATGATAACTGGATTTACGGAGGAGAGCCGCGCGTAAACAAACAAACAGCATCTTTTGCACTAAGCTCCCGATAGATGAGAGCATCACCTGTCGCCATGTGACACGAGGAAGAAGCTCTGAGAAGATCCAACAGTCCAACCGACAAGAACCACAGCATCGGTCGTGTTCAACTGAAATTAATGCAAATCAGATTTGAAAAGCTGCAGTTATGTGTGTGCAGAGCTGACGTATGAGATTTGTTGAGTGTAATCTCATCCCAGCAGGGAGGTGGCGCTATAACCCCGCCTCAGGGGGAGGGACACTCACAGCATGTTGGGATGCAGGTGGACCTTTTTAAAATGCCATAAGAACCGTGAAGGCTGCAGCGCTACCAGGCGGTGTCGGCTTTATTGTGAACCTGCCAGAGAGCTGAAATCAGGGTCCGATGTGACACCAGTCGTCCACTGCTATGCTTCTCCAACAGCGGCTCTATTAGTGGCAGCAGAAACCCACGTGTATGACCAGAACAGAACCTGTTGGTTCCTACAGCTGGTGCTCTAGTTACATGTAGTGTTTCCTCTTTGTTGGTCTCTACTCGTCTCCCTCAGCACGTCTTCTCCTCCAGACACTCAGCAGCTGCTGGACTGTTGGACACGTGATGGTTTGTGTTGTCTGAGTTGTGAACCACGATATACGCAGATTATCTGACTTTGTTTGTGAAAGCATCGCTAAATTCTTCCCTAAACACTTTTGTTACCAATATGAGCATCTTGCAGTCCTAAGTTTCCCGTCCAGGCTTTTCTTCTGCTCTTATCTACGTCACCATGCTAGCGGTTTGCATAACGCCTGCTGCAGCTAGTTTGAGACGCCTCGCCGTCCGCCATCATTTCCTCACTGGAGCTGCTCTGCTCAGCCAGCATCTCTCTACCTGTACTTACAGAACAAAGTGGTGCCTCCATGTCCAGCAGGAGAAGAATGTGTTCATGTTGTAGTCGACCCTCAGAACAGAACCACCAGCCTGTCCATGTGCATCAAATGGGCTCCCAGTGGCTGTTTGGCTGCTTGTCCACTTTTATGGGATTTCTGAGCACAGTTTTAATTTTTTAACTTCCACACCTGCTAATTATTGGTGTTTTCTGGCTCTTCCATGGCAGCGGATGTGGACCTGTGTCGTCTGTCTTCACTCCTGCATGTGATGCATCAGTAGGACAGATTCAGACGCTAATAAACCTCATCAACGTACATGCTCACTGCGTTTCAAGGCCCTACTCCAGGGTGCTAACGTTAACTGGGATCAATGGGCCTCTGGAATGCTTTTAAAAAAACAAAACAAGAAAACGATGATGCTGCGTGTACATATCGGTCAGTGGTCACCAGTGACATCCATCAGTTGTGCGAAACCACTTCTATGATCATTTATGAATAAACCAAACCGTAAAAAGATAATCTTCACTCATACGGAGCACTGGTGGTCACATTTGACTTCTAATGTCTAAACATTAATAGTCTCCTGATTTATTGGTGAAGGACCACACATATAATCGTACTTTCTGTTGCAGGCATCAGCAGCCCGCTCACTGATGCTTTTGATTTTATTTTTTTAACTTCATTCAGACTTAACCTGTTTAGATTCTGGAAACATTTTGTAAAGACCAGAGTTTAGTCAATAAAAGGAAGCCACATCTGACTGTTGCTGCTGATGTGACTTCAGAACCGACCACATGTGGGAGAATTAAAGTTTGTCACATCAACAGTGTCGACGCCCACACAGCTCCAGCCCAAGGACACTGATGATAATAAACAATGATAGAATACTGCAGGTAGACTCAACACACACACACACACACACACACACACACACACACACACACACACACACACACACACACACTTACTTTGCTGCCAGCCAGGGTCTGTGCAGCATCCTGTAGACGACGGCCTGCCGCAGATGGTTCTGGAAGTGGCTCGGGTTCAGCTGGATGCTCCTGATTCACCACAAACACACATACAGAGACAGAAACAGTTCATGTTCACCAGCCTTATACCACCTGATACCTGCTAAACTGTCAGACTGACCGCTCACACTGGTCTTAAGCTGAATGTCATATCTGAGCAACAACAAAATGCATTTTAATGTTGTGTTTAATGAAGATCTAACTCATGATGAAACCCTCTACCTGCTCCCATCTGAATGCTACTGGCTGTAATGTCTCAGACTTTAAAGACGGATGCTGATAACACACGACACTGAGCTCTGTGTTAAACTTGTCATGTGTTCCTTCTGCTGGATTACAGAGAGCACTGAGGTGGCACATGGTTATAAAAACATGCAGCTCTTTTAGTAACAAGCACCGTATGCTTAAGCAAGGTTTCCCGGTTTTCTTGCTTTTTCATTTGTTTTCGTGCAGCGATCTGAATGGAATCACCAGTTAGAATCCACAAACTTTGATTTAACTTGTATAATATAACATTTCTGGTTTTCAAGATTCTAACAACTTTATTCATTCCCAGAGTGCAGTTCAGTGTATATATAGGTATCATATGGCTGGGTTAGTGAAGATGAACCGATGTATTTCCATTCCTGCACCTTCATATGAATGCATTTAATACATTACAGTCATGCAGTAAAGTGTCAGACTCTCTGTTTCATGCAGTGTGCTGGTCACACAGGCTAATGCTAACTGTGATAGCACAGCCACTGGTGTACAGGTGAGCAGGATCAGGTTGTGTTGCATCCTGCTGCTGACTCAGCACACAGCAGTTCCCCTTAGAACAGTAGCGTGTAAAACTAGACATATTGGTTTGGCTTGTTAGCATGCTAGCATTAGCAGTAGACACTAGAGCAGCCCAGGATGATGGATAACAGGGATGTCATTGGTGTGCCAGCCTGGTGCTAAAGAGAAGGGAAGGATTCATCCAGATCATTACAGGTCATCCCGAGTGTGGATGAAGTCTCATGCAAATATATCAGAAACTGTCTTCATCACCTAGAACCTGACAATGGTGCCCTCAGAACAGTCGTGGTGATCCAGGTACTTTCACTGTGTTGTACTCTTTGTAGTGTAGATTTAAGTTTGAATGGATGATGAAACGGACTTTTTTGCCCACCTGTCTCCACCCAGTACCGATCTGAAGGCAGATGTCACAGCTTCAGATCTTCGTGGGTAGAAGAGCTCACATGGATTTGGGCAGTTTATCCCGCTCTTCTGGGCAGGTCCTCTCAAGCTCTGTCAGATTTGATAGGAAGCATCTGCAAACTACCGTCTTCAGGTCGCTCCACAGAGGTGCTTTGGGTTCAGGTGGGGACAGACACAGACTAGAGCCAGTCCAGGGTTATCTTGTTTGTTTCAGGTCATTGTTATGCTGAAACGTCAACTATCGTCTGATTCTCAGCTTGCTGAGGTCCTAAAGCTCATTAGCGTAGCTGATGCATTCGTTGCCACCTCTTTGACTGAAGCTTTTCTTTCTTGCTCATTTGATTCAGCTGCTAACTCTGCAAAGAGTCCCAGAGTTCCTCTGAGGCCTCTGTCCTCCTGGGCTCACTCAGAGCTTTAGGAAATGTTTTACACCTTGTGCCCTGATGTATGCTTTGCAACAATTTTGTGCTGAAGGTCCACAGAGGGCTCCTCGGAGTTTATTGCCTGGTTTTTGTTGTGACATGCAGTAAGAATTGTGAGGCCTCCAGGATTACTGAAGCAGGATGAACCTGATAACAGTGTGGAGCAGCTCCACAAAGTCCACAAACAGTCCCAGTGTGTTCGTCAGTGACCAAAAGGTTTTTGTTTTTAATTCATTAGTTTCTGTTAATCTGTTTCTGTGTAATCTTTGTCATTATTAGTAGTTAGAGAAGCTGCTACTGGTCGCAGTGCGTAGAATAAGCTGAGAAACTCATTCGTATTTATATGAAGCCAAAAACACGTGAATAATGAAAAGACTTGCTGACCGAGTCCCTGACTTTAGAGAATAAATGTTTGACAGCACCAACAGCTTTCCTGATCCTCACATGAGTTCATGAAGTCCTCACTCCAAGCTTTCCCCAGTTTGCTAGAACATCACACACACTTGTTCTGTGTGTGATACTGGGCGACAAAGTAAATGGAGAGGAAGAGAGGAGCAAATATAGGTGAGATGAGAGCGAGGAGGGAGGAGATAAGAGACTGAACACAGGAGTCAGAGTGCAAAGCAACACGTTTAGAATGCAGCTGAGAAACTGTTTTGTGCTTCAGCTCAGAGATATGAGCCTGTGATCAGCGGCCAAACAGCCTCACACCAAAACGCTGTTTTCTGCTTTTTTAAACAACCTGTTGAATCACTTATCAGCGACTAAAACGTGTAGAGCGCCGGCATAAAGGTCCACAGAGTCACGTACAGACACGACGTCAGGTTTAAACGCTGAGCAATGAGAGGAGTTTGGAGCCGCTGGTGTTCCTCATGGTAGCACGTTACTGAGCAAGAAGGTCTTTGGTCAGCGGGGCGACCGACAACACAACGGTCCCTCTAACAGCTTCACAGGTCCGCTGCAAACTCACAAAACCTGCTGGAAGCAAAACCATCTCAGCAGCGCTTTATCAGCTGGACCAGCAGCTCCATGGAAGCACTGAATGAAGAATGAACGCAGTGGAACACAGATCAGAAGCTGCTCCAGACACTGAGTGGACGTCTAAGCCTTCAGCACCACGCTGACCTGAAGCAAACAGCCGAGAAACCACTGGAGGGCCTTCAGGACTCGTCTCCACAGTTTGAGTGCTGCAGGACGAGCCCAGAATGAAGGAACATCTGTGGAGAGAGCTGAAGATGGCAGCTCCCAGATGTTTGTGATCAGCTGTGACAGAGCTTGACAGGCTCTGCCCAGATCCAGGTGTGGGAAGCCTGTAGAGACGTATCCAGGACAACTCAAAGCTGTCTGCAAAGACCAGAATGAAGAGTCTGAATGCTTCATTATGGGAGAGAATTCAGTTTAATGAATTTACAAAAATAAAGATGTTTTCACTTCTGTTGAGTGACAGAGAACAGGCCGGTTTGATTCCTATAAAATGAAGTCCACAGAACAATAAAGTGCACAAAACTGTACCTGTGTGTATGTGTATGTGTGTATGTGTGTGTATGTGTGTACGTGTGTGTATGTGTGTGTATGTGTGTGTGTGTATGTGTGTGTATGTGTGTACGTGTGTGTATATGTGTGTATGTGTGTGTGTGTATGTGTGTATTCTTGGTAGATTTGTTGACACTATAGAAGATGTATTATTGTTTTTACACCAGAGAAGATGAATTTTATCAGAAAACATGGTCTTTATAGGAAACATTGAAACAGTGAGTTTTAGATTTAAGTCATCGAGCAGTCCGGAGGTCTGAACGCTGTGTGACGTATTCAGGATGTCTGATAACATCAATATTGGCATAAAAATGTCACATCTGTCAGTATCGTTATCGGGGTTTTTTTGCCTATAATGGAAACTGATGATGTGACGCCTGGATTTCGCCGGCGCACAAACGATGACGACATCAAACAGCGTCGTGAAGCGTGAGAACAAGTGCGGCTGCAGTAACAGACATATATCAGCATCAGCTGATATCGGAATCAGAAATTGAGAATTGGACAATATCAGCGTATGGGATCACAGCATCGACCCAAAAGTCAGCAGCAGGCGGCTGCATGTGCTCCTCAAGTCGCACANTTGAATCACTTATCAGCGACTAAAACGTGTAGAGCGCCGGCACAAAGGTCCACAGAGTCACGTACAGACACGACGTCAGGTTTAAACGCTGAGCAGCAGCATTCGCTATCATTTCAATATTCATCTTTAGATTTGAATGTCAGCGGATCTCTGAGGTCCCCACAAATCAAAAAATATATTTTCAAATCAACTGTTTACCACAAAGTATGTAAATACCAACAGAGTGTAACCCAACTTATTTCCTGAATTTTAATAAATGTTGTCGAACTTTTGAATATGATATATTATTTAAGTATGGAAAAAATACAAATAAAATAAAGCTTTAAATTATGTTTAATATTATTTCAATATTAAAATTTTAAAAATTAGGGCAAATTATTGATTTAAAATTAAATTGAAATTTTAAAAAAAGTTTTTTAAAATTAATTAATTCATGACATTTTCTTATTTCTAATGTCATGTCTTGTCTTTCAGAAGACTTGTGCCTGCTGAATGTTTGATTGTCACAAGACACTCAGAACACAACATTTCTACTGAGTGAAAGTAAATTTAACAGTTATTGTGTCAGGGACTAAAACGCACCCATAACCGAGCAAAGTTTTAGTTTGTTTGTTTTTTTGTTTTTGCAGAAAGTGAAATGCTTTTCAAACAGCCACTTTCCAAAGATGCCAAACTTTGTGCTTCTGCAAACTGAATGAGCAGGAGACAGACAGACATGAAGAGGAGGAGGAGAGTAGAGCAGCGACAATGAAAACATGGCAGCATGCACTAAAACCTGCAGACATCAGAAGAAACCGGGCCGAGGACCGAGAACCAGGCAGCTGCAGCCAAACACTGTCATCCCAAACAACCACACTTCAGACATGTGCAGAGCCAACATCTGTGTTCCAGTGCTCCCTCCACCTCTCTGCTCCGACCAGAGGAGGAACTGAGGAACACCACCTGTCCCAGTCTGGGGCTAAAAAGGTAAAGAAACAACAAAACAGCCAGGAGGGGTTCTGTAAGCACATCACGACACCTCTGCACTTGTTAGCCAGTCGTTCTAGCGCTGTCTTGTGTCCAGTCTGACGGCATCTGGATCGACTAGAACTGGACATCTGCATGTGAATGCAGTCGATCCACCACTAAAGCTGTTACTGAACAACTACCAAAATACCAAAACACCCTCTTGTTTCAGTACCTGATGAGGTTCTGAGTGTTGAATCACCTCCGGTCCAACCTGCACATCACAGGCTGCTGCCGTAACCCAGTCATCAGGCTGAACAGAACCGGTCTTAAAACACAGCAAATGTTTAACAGTGTGACGTGAG